GACATATATCAAATATAAATTATATTTTGTACTCAAAATAACATGATAAATAATATTATAATTCTTTAAAGATCAAAATATTCAATATTATTATACTATCAAGTATTAACTAACAATTAATAACGCACAAACTAACATAAAGAAACATTGTTTAAATAGAAGAAACATGACATGAATAAAAAAAATCCATTTTTTTATTTAGTTCTACATACATAATACAAAACAAAATATGAATGAAAAAACAGAACACATTCGGTCATTTTTTGTTTAACAGTTAAAGTATGGCATGAATCAAACAACACATATTTGGTCCATTTTTTATTTAACACTTTAACAGTGTTATTTAACACTTTAACAGTTAGGGATGTTTGGATGGGGGAATGTGAGATTTTCATGAGAATGAAATCTACATTTTCCTGAGAATGAAATCTACATTTCCCTGAGAATGAAATCTACATTTTCCCGTTTGGTTACTCCAGAAATCTCATTCTCGATAATGAAAGATTATCAATAGTAGATTTTTTGGGATATATTACCAGGAATGTCATTACCTCCATTTCCTTAGGTATTGTTAGATTACCGACGTTTTGGACTAAAATGCCCTTAAATTTTTATCTTTTTAAAAAAATATTCTTTTTGTGTCGATAAAAATTCTACGAAGGTTAAATTATAAATTTATCATTAAATTATTTTAGATTTAAAAAAATATATAATTAAAATTTTATATTAAATTCAAAGATTAAAATAAAATTTTAATCCCTCAATTTCATATAAAATTTTACTCATTCATTAAACTTTTTTTATATTTTTAATTTTGTAAAAAAATTATATAAATATTATGAATTTAAATTTTTTAAAGAAAATATATAAATATTTTTCAATACAAATATATAATAAAGATAATTTGGTCAAATATACATTTCAATAATCTTTTATTCCTTTAACCAAATACGATAATCTTATATTCTTGCTAAGTCAACCAAACACAAAATACAACATTCACAGTAATTTTATTTCCTGATAATCTTATATTTTCACTGATAATCTTACATTTCGTACCCTTAGAGTATGTAATTCTGGTACGAATGATCTATATATATTATAATAATTAATTGATCAAATAGACAAAAGTGATATGCATGAGATATTGTCGGCAAAATCAAAGATTTTCTTAAAAAATATTATAATAATTAATAAATCAAAACCCAATTGCTCTGAGTGAAAAAAGTGTTATGCATGAATACACTTGGAGACAAATGAGACAAGTGGGTTGAACAGTTTATTAGATTTTGACATGTGTTTTTATCTCAAATCTTCTGATTATTACAGTAGTTCTATTTTTGGATTTGTCCAGCAGCACCCAAAATTGTTCAGTACCTGGTCGGCGGTGACTGGCGCGAAGGCCGTGGTCGGTGAAGAAGAGGATCACGATTAAGAAGGGGATTACTTAAGGGGCGAGTCGTTGGTAAAGAAAGAAGAGGAGGAGAAGGGGATTACCTGGTCGCGCGCCCGGCGGTGGTGAATGCTGTGACTGCCGGCGAAGAAGAGAACGGTGGAGGTGGTGAAGAGAGTGCGTGCGATGGAGAGAAAGATAAGATAGGGATTTGGATTGGGGATATTTTTAACAGGGTAGGCTTTTTTAGGTATAAAAATATGATTATTTATTAATATATCAAAAACTGGAAAGAAAAAAATACCACAAGCGCCAGCGCCCGACTCGCGCCTCATGGCGCCTTTCGTATGCCGCCTCGTCTTGACCCAGGTAGGCGATTTTTTCGGCGAGAGGCAAGATGGGAGCTAAGATTTTCATGTAAATTTTGACCTTGGAAAGAGTTTCCTAAACAGGTACAAACTTTCACAATCACAAGTAGGGCTAGAGTTGAGCTTACTAAGCATTACGCATGCACATAATATTTGGAACCGTTGCTGGTTCTTCAAATAGTAGGAGCGCGTCTTCGGTTTAGTTCTTAAAAGGTGATTTCATTTAGATTACTGAAGAATATACTACTACTTGGTGGCATCATTGACCCCTTTATATATTGCTCGAGAGCAAACACCCTAAGGCACCTCCATCATGTTCCGCCAAGATCACCTTCTCAAGATTTTCATTTTCATAAATATAGAAATTCTTCAGATGAATGAGAAAACAAAACTTAACATGCTGCAGATGCAATCCAAGTTATACTTACCACTGATTATTTGTTGAATCTCACCAAAATTTCCTGTGAGATTGCTCCTATTTGCATATGAACTTACACTAGAATTCGAGCCATGCAGTGCAATTGATAATGGAATACATAATTATCAAAATCCAAGCGGTTTATTGGTGCACCTAAGAATCTGAATGTGACATTGAACAAGCAAATCAAGTCCACAATCTATCACAAAAATCTTGCTAAACTTCCCTACTTGGGAACTTTCAGCATTTTCCCAGACAAGAACACATGATAGCTTTCAATTTATCATCAGTAGTACTTAAGTCCTACCGACATCGAACCAAAGCAAAAATATAAAACGTGAGCACAAACATAAGAGAACGATAGCACTTATATAGAAAAGAGTCATGAATCAAGTATGCTTTGCCTGGAAATCCTTCATGAAAGAAACCAGCTTCTCACTCCAGCCAAAGGCATAGCATTGTAAATGGAAGCTCGCATACCTCCTACCGATCTATGCCCCTTGAGCTGCACCATCTTCTCCTTCTCAGCTTCCTTCAAACTCGCCCTCCAACTCGGACTTCTCCAAAGTAAACGGAACATTCATCAGCGACCTCACAGATTTCTCGACGGGGCACCTGTAGAACCCTTTGCTTTCATCAATGGCACTGTACAAAACGCCGGCTTTCCTTTCATTCTTCTTCTCAACCTCCTTCAGTCCTCCCTGCTCCAAAAGATCTTCAAACACCAGCCCACATATAGATCCCGAAACAAGGTGTGTATACAAAGAGTTGTTGTCGGCGTGGATCTTGTAATCAAGCATCACAGGGGTAATCTCTTGTCCATTTCCTATAAGATCTTTCCTCACGATCACGATGCAAACCCCTGATGGACCCACATTCTTCTGAGCACCGGCATAAATCAACCCAAACTTGGTTACATCAACCGGCTTGGAACAGAAATTGGAAGACATATCAGCTACAAGAACCCCATTTGGATTGCCGGGAACCGGATAGTTCTTGAACTCGACCCCATAAATAGTCTCATTGGCGCATATATGCAAATACTTGGCATTAGGGCTTAGTTCCAACCCATCAAACGAGGGAACCTTCACGTAATTCTCCGATTTCCCATTCCAAACGACTTTGGGTTTGCAGTATTCTTACCTTCTTTGAAAGCCTGTCTCCCCACGAACCAGTAACAAGATATTCAACGGTGTCATCAGGCCGACAGAGATTCAAAGGGACAGAAGCGAACTGGGTTGTCGCCCCACCTTGGAGGAACAAAACGGCGTAGTCTTCGGAGATGTTGAGAAGCGCACGTAGATCGGCCTCCGCTTTCTCGATAATGGAACGGAAATCCTTCCCGCGGTGGCTCATTTCCATGACGCTCATGCCAGATCCGCGCCAATTGTAAAGCTCGGTTTGGGCCTTGAGGAGGACGTTCTCGGGCAAGGTGGCGGGACCCGCGGCGAAATTAAAAACCGATCTTGAGATTGGGACTGAAGGGAAGGGCGACCTGGATGGTGTATGAACAAGAGATGAAGAAGGGCTTGGGTGAGGTTCCATAATGGAAGGTGGTTTTGGATTTGAGAAAGGCATGGCTTTGATGAGTCTTCTGAAGGAGAGGGGTGTGTGGGTTGGTTAAGGGTGTTGCCGCCATGGATGTAGATTTTCTCAGAAGAGGCTAACAGGTTGAGGAGGTTGGTGGCAAAGATCTGAAAGCAAATGGGGAGTATTTATAGAGCATGTTTTTTTTATTGGGTTTGGCTCCTTCACCTCTACGAGAAAACGATCCGATGTTACTGCGGCTGTTGCCAACTTGAAGTTGGTGAGAAGTGGACCTACACAACGGTGTCGTTTTCGAATTACTTGAGTTCAGGGGGTGGTTCCTCGTCCTTTTTGTCGTATTGATGGATTCCTAATACGTGTGATGCAAGAAATTATATTATATAGGATGTCTTTATTGACAATCTTTCAAAAAAAAAATTTCTATTGAAAATAATAATTTCTATTATTTTTCTAAACAAGTATTAGTATATGTTAAACTTTAAAGAGTAAAATTAAACTGAACTCTTCGTTGGGTCAAACATAGACTGTAATTGATTTTCTAAAAAATAATTTATGTAAAATAAATTATTTAAAAATTATTTTACGTAAAATAAATTATTTTATGGTATTTTGATGATATTATTTAAATCATTTTCACTAATTGTTTGATCTATTATAATTAATTTTATAGAAAATGATTTACATAAATTGAATAAAATTTGATTCGGTTAATATTAAAAATGTTCAATTAACGATTAAATAAAAAAATTAGACTAATTCGATTAATGGTAACCGTTTGAACACTCATAATTTTAATTATTATTATTTTATTAACATAATACTAAATTATTATATTAATATAAAATGTATAAATTAATATTATTCATTATTATTAAATTAAAATATAATATTAAAAAAAAGATAATATTAACTATATTAATAATGTATTATACATTATTAAATTAAAAATATAATATAATATATTATTATAATATAACTGAATACATACTAATATAATATTATTAAAATTATATTATATATATTAAATATTTTAATAATTATCATTTTCATTAAAATGATATTAAAATATTATATTAATATTAAATAAATAAATATTTTTTTGAGTGCTTATACTTTGAACTGAAAATTAGGAAAATATTTTACCGAATATCAGATGATAAAACATTTTACAGAAAATACAAAAATCTAAGAAAATGAATTACATTAGGAAAACTAATTACAACTATCAAAAACTGAAAAAAAATTCTGAAAATATTTTACAGCTATTAAATGTAAGAAAATATTTTCCGGATATCAAAAACACCCTTAATTTGCAAAGCTCAAAGTGATTGCGGCATTTTAACACAACTTGTGCTGTTCAACAAGTGCTTCTCTCTTTTCATGTTCCTTTTTCTTCTTCCGTTTCCCCCCTTTGCTACATCTGGTGGAATCTGGTGTTTCAGCTCAACACACATTTTTCGTCCTACTAGGGTCCTACTAGGATTCAAACTCTTAAAAATATGATAGAATTTTAGGATTCAAACTCTTAAAAATAGGATAACATTTTGCTAGGATTCAAACTCCTAAAAATAGGATAGAGTTCTACTAAGATTTAAATTCCTAAAGATAGGATCTACAAGCACTATAAATAGCCATTGTAACTCACCATTGTAACACACGATTTACACATAAAACATAGAGGAAAGCACGGGAAGATACAAAGGCAAAATTATTGTAAATGATTCGAAAAGGAAATAAAAGGTAGCATTTTCTTTTTTCTTTCTTTTGCATGTGCACGTTATTTTTCTTGAGATTTAGTTCGAATAACCCAAAACGTGGGTTGCGCCGATGACCAAAATGGGTGGGGTTTCGAAGTTTCGAACCTAGATCTACCCCGAGGCTTAATTTTAAAAACCGGTTTGATTTTCGGTTAAAGGAGGGGAATAGCTTTTTAAAAATCTATATTAGTCCATTTATTTATTATATGGATATTTTATTCATTTATTTTTATTATTCATGTTATTATTATTATATGTGTATATATATATATATTAAATTATTTTCATTTATTTTTTACTATATTTTATTATTATATTATATATATATTTCTTTAATATTCTACTTATAAGTCTATTATTATATATATTGTAATTATCTTTATCTAGTCATATTTTTTATACTTTTAATGGTTTATTTATATACCTATTATTAATATATATATATATATTTAATTATTTTATTGATTATTTTTTATTTACGTAATATATCTTATAACTTTATATATATATATATATATATATATATATATATTATTTGCGTTTTTTATTTATTATTATTATTTATTTTTTAAAATCTTGTGTCTTATCATTATTATTAAACATTATATTATATTACTAACCTAAAGGATCCATTTTTTGTCTTATTTCTGACTAAAGCCCCTCACTTTTGGTGAAGTGAGAGGGTAACTTTTCTATTTTTAATACTTTGATGTATATATATATTTTTTTTTTCAAATATTACTATATATAATTATTACTTACTATTTTTTTTTTCTTTTATCTTATTTATTTATTTTATTTTCCCTTGTATCTTATTTGTTTTCTTTACCTTGTTATCTAACATTTCTCGATTTTTTTAAGGATATTTTCAAATCAATCAAGGGTAAGTAATTAGGATCGAAACTTTACCTTTTAATTTAACTTGTTATTTTTCTTAATTAAGACAACTGGAAATTACGTAGTACCGAAAGGGCGGTTCAAGGGTGCTAATCCTTCCTTGACCGTAACCGACTCTCGAGCCCGACATATTTCTGGTAAGACGCAGATCAGGTAAGAAATAGGTATCCGATCAACCCATTTATTTTTAAATAAATGATCGGTGGCGACTCCAATCCATATTTTTTAAGTCGAAGCCCAATTCCGGGGCACAACCGAAAGACGGTTGCGACAGCTTGGCGACTCCGCTGGGGACACAGGTAAGTGAGTTAGGCTAAGGTAATTTCCAGTTGTCTTTTTAATGAAAATGTAAGTTAATTTTAAGGTAACATTTCGATCCTTATACTTACTTTTGATTATATTTTCGAATAATAGTTGTACTGACAGTTTTTTAATGATTTCAGCCCTTAAAGATTTTCATCCAAAGGCTCTATACCCGAGCTCTGAACCCGTTTTAAGTGGGGGTGAAAGCGACGCCTTCGTGTGAATTATTCATCGTATGGGCCTAGCAAGTAACCTTCGGGATTCATATACCTTATGTCTTCGTGTGAATTTATTCTCCGTATGGGCATAAGGGAATGTTTCCTCTCGAGTTTAACTTAGTCCACACAAGCCTGTGATGGGTTTAGGACTAAGGGTCTGGTAAGCCCAAGGGGGCACCGGCAAGGAGAACTCGAGTACCTTTTTTTAGAACCTAAACTCGGAGACTACAAGGAGTTAGGGCCCACCCCAAAATCTCGTTTTAAACCCTAGGATGCCGAAATTATTTTCTGCTTTACTTTCTGTTCAAAACATGTGAACTAGAAATTTATGCGGTTATGACTTGTTCAAAATCAACTTGCGGGATAGAGATCATGTCCGGGTAGGAATAATAAGCATGTGGGGTAGATATCATGTGGGGTAGGACTTTTATTTTTATGATTGCTTTGATTATTATCTTTACCTTACTAACTCTTTTTATTTTTTCCTCTCTTTATTTATTTCCATCACTGCATCATTCAAAAGAGGTGTTGATCCACCAAAAATCGTGTTCGTTAACCATAAATAATCTGCATTAATGGATAAAGGTATTGTAATACAGGAGATTAAAAACCCCGAGGTACGACTATGGTCCGAGAAGCCTCAGAAAGAAAAGGGAGTCAGTCTTCAAGGAAGTTATGTGTCAGAGCTTGTTAGCTATGCCTCTATCAGCCTAAAACAGAATAATGTGCAAGAACTTCGAGACATCTGAGATAATTGGAAGAATGATCAGAAACAGAAGTTCAGTCAGCGGTATGGTGACATTGCACTTTTGCTTCATGTTAAAACCGATGAACCCTTAATCAGAGCCTTGGTTCAATTTTGGAACCTGGGATACAGTTGCTTCACTTTTAACCAGGAGGATATGGTACCTACCATCGAGGAGTATACTACACTATTGCACTGTGAAAGCATTAAACTGGAGCGAGCCTACATCAAACACATCAAGAGTTAGCCTTTCAAGAACGGACTGGCTAAGATTGTAGGAGTTGATGAAAAATGGGTGACTGACCGACTCCGAAACAAAGGTAACGGGCAAGGAATTGAGTGGATCCACATAAGGGAACTAATGAAGGACCAACCTGATGAATGGAAGACTATAGACCTTTTTGCACTAGGTCTGTATGGCTTGATCATCTTTTCGAAGGTTTTGGGATGCATTGACGCAGCCGTGGTGGAACTGTTTGAGCAACTTCTGAAACGAGTCAACCCAGCACCGACCATCTCAGCCGAGACCTTTTGGTCTCTCAACCATTGCCGAAGAGCTGGCGAATGTAGATTCATTGGATGTGTTTAATTCCTTCAAGTCTGGATTCACATCCACTTCTGGAAGACTAATGAGGTTGCCTACTGTAGATTTAGCACTACGTATTCACCTTTGAGAGAGTTCATCACCATGACAGGACATGAAGGCGCTTCAAAAGAGAAATGGATGAAAGTATTCACTCATCTTCAGGACTGGGATATTACCTGGAGAGCCCCCTGGTTGTTCCTCAGTGATGTTCTTTTCAAGTGTGGGAATTCTGACACTATGACCCTATTTGGACTTTGAGGTGCAGTTGGGTATGCTCCGTTGTTGGCACTTAGACAGTATGGGGCACATCAGTTTGTCCCAGCAACATATGGATTATCTATATCAGAGTTTATGTATCACGGTGACAATTATAAGAAGATGATCAAAGAAGCAGTCGAGTCATGGAAGAAAGTATCTCAGATGGATGTCTAGAAGATTTAGTCCGAACATACCTTTTATTGTTTTATGTCTCTTACAAGATAAAACATTTTGTCTGAATAAGGATTATTATAATAATGGACACTTTTGGATCAATGCCTCGAACATTTCATGCATTCTTGCATTTTGCATTTTTGCCTTTTTGCATTTTCATCTACATTTTAAGCATTTTCACAAACATGAAATTAAGTCGTGAAGGGCTCGATGAAGCAAATTTAACCACATGGAAGCAAGATTGTAACAGTAGGAGCCTGATCAGCTGATTTTAGGACAAAGCTTGCCAGGATGATCTAAGAAAAGAATCCCCATATCCTAAGGGCCACGATGTTGAAGCTGCTAGCTGTTACCACGTAAGAAGCCCCAACATTCCTCTGAAACCTGTAAGGCGCTTGCGAAGAAGGGGGCATGGCTATACCATTTGCACTTAGAGGATTGTTTTGTTGAACACGTCTTGATCTTTCGCTTAATCTGTTAAACGATTGAATTTATGCTACTTTCTAAGGTGGAGCAATTGAACAAATTTTAATCTTTAGTTCTTCGAATACTAAATGAATTAAGGATTCTTTAATTCTTCAAGAATTATAGATTTTTGACATATGACAAGATTAGACCTTTCTTATCCTGTCTCAAACCCCCAAATGAAATACCTTGATCAAAAAGACCAAATTTTGACATTACCTCCCTTTGAAATTCTTGAACATTGCCTTTACCTTTATGATACACCCATACCTTTCTTTGAGTCAATAAGATCACACCACTGTCTTTTTAGACTCAAAGTTAACATTTTTTTTACCATTAAAACCCAAGACATTGAGTTGTTCATTTGAACAGAAGCATTCTTCTAAATTGGGGCATCTCGAGGGGAGCCTGAACATTGAGACATGTTGGGAGCAAGGAGCAACAAAAACAATTCATTCGAAATAATCCTATCATACATTAACACTGTTTTCATGTGAATAGAATTAATCTTGCAAATCTATCCCCCTGGGGATACCTCTTTTGTGAGGACTTCCATGTATGAAATGATGAACGGCTTTCTTTCTTTATCCCTTCACAACAGGAGAAAAAATATATCCATTGTGTCCCCTTTTGAGCCTATAGTATTTTTCTTCTGATTCAACCCTAACCAAAGATCACCCTCCACACTGGGGGCCATATTGAAGAAATCTGCTCACATGAGTGAAGACATCAATCCAAAGGAGATACCACGAGGTGGACCAAATGACAAGTGCAAAGATCCAATCAAGAAGAAAAAAGAAAAAAGCAAAAAAAAAAAAAAAAACAAAGAAAAAAGAGAAACAAGAACATAAGGAAAAAAAGAAAAAAACAAGAATCAAAAAGAAAGAGGAACAAAAAGCACATGCAAATATTCCCTAAAGACAAATGGCACATCAATCTTCAAACTATGAGATTGATCAAGCACAATCATTCTCGAATCTCTGAATCACTTCACTCGAAGATCATGGAACATCCAGAGAAAATCCAGAGAAACACATATGAGCAGATCCAAATTGAGCAAGACAGGATTGAAGGCATCAGAATGAATTGATCCTTGGTTCAACACCCTGAAACACTTGTTTGGGCCTATTTATCATTTTCTTTCATAACCATGAACTCTGGCCTACATTACGTGCCTTAAAAGTCCCTTCTAATCATACATGGATTTTTAAACAGAAGAGACTATCTTCAGATTTCATCCCGCCCATCAGGATTAATATTTGTTTGCAAAAAACAATGTAATTAATGCATGGTAAAGAAAAATAACAAAGGGGGTTCAAGACGTACATCCTTAATGGCGTCTTGAAACCAAAGGAGGGTTCGAGTCGAAAACCTGAAAAGGCGGCTCGAATATAAAAATTGTGCAACTGAGGCGGTCACACAAATTCCTTGATAAGGCATCGCACAATCCGAGTGTGACCACGAATACTGGGAGTCGAAGAACACTTCCAGTAGAGGAGCATGTAGGCTGTCCCATCAAACCTTTGAGCATCAAATGCCAAACCTTTGAGCATCAAATGCCAAACCTTTGACCAAACACAATAACCTGAGACTTTTTATCCTTTCCTTACTTGACTATCTCCCAAAGATAGCTTGGATCTTGGCAGTTGTCAAATAACTATAATTTATTAAAGGATTAACATTATAATTAATTCTTTGATAGCCGATGAACTCTAGTTTTATGATTCGTCTCAATTGTAAAACCGTGATAGGGGCAATATTTTTAAAACTTGAGATTAAACATTTTTTGAAACTCTTTTAATTGATATTTTCATGACTTTGAAAATAAAGAGAAAGAAAACATTTTTTTTCAAACAAGACAGTCTCTCTAGAGTGGATCTTGGTAAATGACATGTAACTCTCAAACACAAAGCTCATGCTTAGAATCAATGATGAAGCAAAAAATAAGGAACATTTGGGGTATCTTTGAAGATTCAACATCAAATATTGGGGCATTTTTGGATATTGAGGCATCTTTGGGGATTCAACATCCTAATGCGAATTATCGGACCTTTTTCAGGAGATAAAATATAACCAATTCATGTTACATGCATCTTATGCATACATTTTAGAGCGTCATATCTATCATTTTCTTTCCACGTACATAATTTTTTACAGCTTTAGAGTCAAGTTCGACTTCAAGACGAAGGATACTCGATTCAAAAGCACCTTTACAGATTGATGTCGGTTGCTTAGCTCAGCAGCAAGAAGCTACACTTCAACCAACTTGACAGATAGAAAGATCGACATTCATTTTCAGATTCGACATTTCCAATATAAATTCTGTCTCGCTTGAGACAATCTCATTTAATGCAGATGATTATCTCACTTAAGATTGCTTTTTTAAAACATACTTTGTCTCACTTGGGACTGTTTTACTCGAAAGAAGATTTATTTCACTCATGATTGTTTTTCTTAAAACAAGATTTGTCTCGCTTGAGACCGTTTTCACTAGAAGAGTTTTGTCTCTCTTGAGACAGTTTCCCTTGAAATAAATTTTGTCTCTCTTGAGACAGTTTCTCTTGAAACAAATTTCGTCTATCTTGAGACAGTTTCCCTTGAAACAAAATATTTGAATATGTTTTCTTTGAAACAAATTTCGTCTCCCTTGAGACAGTTTCTTTTGGAACTAAGTTTTGTCTCTCTTGAGACAGTTCTCTTGAATCAATTTTCGTCTATCTTGAGACAGTTACTCTTGAAACAAAAAATCTTCAAATTTATTTCCCTTAAAACATAATTTTGTTTCCCTTGAGACCGTTTCTCATGAAACAACAGATATCTTTGAGATCGTTTCCCTTGAAACGAATTCTATCTCTTTCAAGACAACTTCTTTTGAAGCATCATCTGAACCGTTACACTCAGCTCAGGCACATACTTGAGATGGTCGAGAAGCATTTCTCAAATCAAAAATAGAATGTGCACATCAGATTTGAACATTTGAAGAATTCAAGATCAGGGATCAAAATTTGAAGATTCAAGAATCAAGATTCCAGACAGGCAACTGGAGATCGAGATTTCTCTCTAAAGCCCCAAGATAACATATGTTGCATATGCATTTTAGGCACACCTAAGAGCATTGCATCCATAGCATCACATATATGCATAACTTTTTCAGGTTTTAGCTAGAGTCAATTTCAACTTTGCGGCGAAGGATATTGAACTCAAAGCGACACGATTTGCTCGAGAGTGGATTTCAACTTCACGACGAAGGATATCTAGCTCGAAGTCAAACTTCACAATAAAGGGGTCTCCACGGTTTCAACTTCACGGCGAAGGGAATTGTGTCCACCCGCAACATACAATACTTGGATTTCAACTTCACGACGAAGGATATTCAAGTCAATGCTCAACTTCACAGCGAAGGGGCCATCCGCGATTTCAACTCCACGACGGAGGATATCATGGCACTCGAGACAACACAAGTTCAACTTCACAACGAAGGGACGGCTAGTTGTCAACAAACAACTTCTCAATTTCAGAGCCAATTTCAACTTCACAACGAAGGATATTGGACTCCAGACAACGCAAGTTCAACTTCACGACGAAGGCACCGCTGCTTGTCAACAACAACTTCTCAATTTCAGAGCCAATTTCAACTTTACAACGAAGGATATTGGACTTCAGACAACGCAAGTTCAACTTCACGACGAAGGGACCGCTGCTTGTCAACAACAACTTCCCAATCTCAGAGCCAATTTCAACTTCACAACGAAGGATATTGGACTCCAGACAATGCAAGTTCAACTTCACGACGAAGGGACCGCTGCTTGTCAACAACAACTTCCCAATCTCAGAGCCAATTTCAACTTCACAACGAAGGATATTGGACTCCAGACAACGCAAGTTCAACTTCACGGCGAAGGGACCGCTGCTTGTCAACAAAATTTCATTCAGATTCAATTTCAACTTCACAACGAAGGATATTGGACTCGAGACAACACAAGTTCAACTTCACAACGAAGGGACGGCTGGTTGTCAACAAACAATTTCCCGGTTCCAGAGCCAATTTCAACTTCACGACGGAGGATATTGGACTTGGAACAATGCTACCTACTTGGATTTCAACTTCACGACGAAGGATATCCAACTCAAAGAAGGATTATCTGCCATCAAAATTGTCGAGTTCAACTCCATTCAGCTCGATGACACATCAATCGCACTACTTTCCGGTTGCAGTCGAGGTTTTCAAGTCGAGAAGAGGACCTGGGTTAGCCGTGCCTTAGTGACAAGCAACCATTTTCAAACAGCATAGCTTAAGTCAAGAAAAAGCTATCTGTCAATGAAGATTTCTGAGTTCGATTCCGATCCAAGGTCTTTAAACCGAGAAGAAGACCGAAGGGTAACGAGAAGCCACGTGCTGATTCAAATTCCAAACTACGGCTTTAATTTCATATCATTTCAAGATAAACTCGACTTCACGATGGAGGAGTCATTCGTAACTCAATTCGAGAGGGAGTTATTGAAACATCAGAGTTAATTTTCAACTCCACTGAACGAAATGTGTGTCTTTTAATCTTTGCCCTATCCCCGTTACACGACTATGGGCAAAGAGGGGCAGCTGTCAACACACATTTTTCGTCCTACTAGGATTCAAACTCCTAAAAATAGGATAGAATTTTAGGATTCAAACTCCTAAAAATATGATAACATTTTGCTAGGATTCAAACTCCTAAAAATAGGATAGAGTTCTACTAAGATTTAAATTCCTAAAGATAGGATCCACAAGCACTATAAATAGCCATTGTAACTCACCATTGTAACACACGATTTACACACAAAACATAGAGGAAAGCACGGGAAGATACAAAGGTAAAATTATTGTAAAGGATTCGAAAAGGAAATAAAAGGTAGCATTTTCTTTTTTCTTTCTTTTGTATGTGCACGTTATTTTTCTTGAGATTTAGTTCGAATAACCCAAAACGTGGGTTGCGCCGATGACCAAAATGGGTGGGGTTTCGAAGTTTCGAACCTAGATCTACCCCGAGGCTTAATTTTAAAAACCGGTTTGATTTTCGGTTAAAGGAGGGAATAGCTTTTTAAAAATCTATATTAGTCATTTATTTATTATATGGATATTTTCATTTATTTTTATTATTCATGTTATTATATTATATGTGTATATATATATATATTAAATTATTTTCATTTATTTTTTTACTATATTTTATTATTATTATTATATATATATTTCTTTAATATTCTACTTATAAGTCTATTATTACTATATATATTGTAATTATCTTTATCTAGTCATATATTTTTTATACTTTTAATGGTTTATTTATATACCTATTATTAATATATATATATATATATTTAATTATTTTTATTTGATTATTTTTTTATTTACGTAATATATCTTATAACTTTATATATATATATATATATATATATATATTATTGCGTTTTTTATTTATTATTATTATTATTTTTTTAAAATCTTGTGTCTTTATCATTATTATTATTAAACATTATATTATATTACTAACCTAGAGGATCCATTTTTTGTCTTATTCTGACTAAAGCCCCTCACTTTTGGTGAAGTGAGAGGGTAACTTTTCTATTTTTAATACTTTGATGTATATATATATATTTTTCCTTTTTCAAATATTACTATATATAATTATTACTTTACTATTTTTTTTTCTTTTATCTTATTTATTTATTTTATTTTTCCCTTGTATCTTATTTGTTTTCTTTATCTTGTTTATCTAACACATTTCTCGATTTTTTTTAAGGATATTTTCAAATCAATCAAGGGTAAGTAATTAGGATCGAAACTTTACCTTTTAATTTAACTTGTTATTTTTCTTAATTAAGACAACTGGAAATTACGTAGTACCGAAAGGGCGGTTCAAGGGTGCTAATCCTTCCTTGACCGTAACCGACTCCCGAGCCCGACATATTTCTGGTAAGACGCAGATCAGGTAAGAAATAGGGTATCCGATCAACCCATTTACTTTTAAATAAATGATCGGTGGCGACTCCAATCCATATTTTTTAAGTCGAAGCCCAATTCCGGAGCACAACCGAAAGACGGTTGCGACATAAATCATTAATTAGTCGGTGGCTTTGCTATTCGACTCCTTTACCACTGGCTTTTCCAGCCCTGTAAATGACCTGTTTTCTTCTCCTGATATGTTTCCTTGAAATTTGAAATTTTGCTCGTCTTCTTTTAACTTCTGTTGCTTCTTGGCCATGCGTTTCAGCTCATCTTTTGCAACCAGTTTCCAATTCTTTGTAGCAGTAGTACGTGGCTCAGAAGGACTCTGGTTCGTCTCAACCAATTTTTGCTTCTTCGGCATCCTTCCCTTGCCATCAGAATTATATAAGGATGGGGCACGTCTTTTATTCTTCTTCATTGGAGATTGATTATTGGTCGAAATTTCATCACTTAACTTCGGTTGTAGGCTGTCTTTCTCGTCATTGACTATCTCTGCTGCATCTGCAGAGGGACCAGCCTTCGTTGTTTCTAAAATAATTTTGACAAGCACATATCTTGTCTCGCAAGGATCCCCTTTCTCAAGCAGATGATAGTTGATCTCACGACTTTTTCTCCTCCTCCCTTTTGTAAAAGATTTAACATCTTGTACAATCAGATCAAAAAGTTTAGCAGTACTCTTTGCAGTACTCTTTGGTATAAACACCTGGAAAAAGAAAAACTTATTTACTAAAAGAATACTATACAGATAAGTTCGTGTACCAGAACAATGCGAGAAACCAAAACAAATCAAGGGATGGTGGCATTTCTGATGGCAGGTTAATTTATCTTCAGCATGGAAAACATGAACACGTCTCAATGATAAGAACATAAAAAATTCAATGGAGTGGATGTCAAAGGCACTTACCAAACCAGAGCATGGAGAAAATGCATATCTTGACATTGATTCAAGCAGATTACCAGTCTTTGTTAATGTCCATACAGAATCCTGAACTAAAGATGCAAGCTGAGCAACTTCTTTGGCAAGATCTTCATCTGATTTAGTTTCTGAAAATCCTGAGATTTCAGGAACGAATTTAACTTCTGAATCCGATATACCGAGTTCTCTTGCAAATTCAACACCTAACTTCCAATTTCCATAATATAGAACAGAAGCAAAGGTCCAGACAACAAAAGCATCTTGAGGGTTGTTTACCAATGCCAGGTGAAACATCAAAATCCAACCCTGTTCTATGCAGAAAGAAATAATAGAGACATCTCAGATACTGAAATACATTTTTTTTTATAGAAGTTGGAAGTCTCATTAAAACTCCCTTCGTATTCGTCACACACTAAGAAGTATGTTAACGAACATTGGAAAAGAAAAGAGTACCTAATAGTTATTAATAATACCAATACATAAGAAAACACGAAATATCCTCCTATGGTGATATACACCATTACAACAAACACTTAAACTCTCACAACATCAACCAAAAACCACAATCGACAAATACTCTATTTCTAAGTTACACCTCCAGCATTTGGATAAAAAACAACTCAAAATAATAACACAGAAAAACCAACACCTGCAACCATTTAAACTAAATCAAAGCCACAATTGAGAGACGAGATCTAATGAGAATCGACTTCGTCAGGGACCCAAGAGTTTGGTTTGAATGAAGACTCAATCTTATGCACCATGATTTTGAAGGAGTTGTCATCGACCTTCAATTTCAACGTCTCATTAATTCTCACATGAACCTTTGTCAGGACTTGAATTTTTTCCCGATCAAAAGATGATGGTGGCTGACAGCTTTCGTCGATTGCTAATAAATAACCCACTTACTGCAATGTTTTTGAAAGTATCCCAATTCCCAAGCGTGAAAGAAACACCCTCGCAAACTAACACACTCGACTACCAAACTCTCTAACCAAGCTTCGACTTTGGAGAACCACTTTGCGAGTGTTTTTGATTTATCGTTCTTCACACTTCTCAACGAAGCCGAGTCTTTGAAAACCATTAGAACTACATTTCCAGCAGCTCTCATTATCGAGAAACCAGTGAGGCCCTTGGCTTGCATTTGATTAGCAAGATTACTAATTTTGATAAAGTTCTTACACCACCCCCCTAGATATTTACTCAATACGAGAAGTTTATCGTTATCCACCACTTCTTCAACTTCACAGTGATTATTCCTCGAAACAACTTCCATCCCGAACTTGCGGTGAACAGCTGTCGAGGACTTTCTCCAATAGGAATGACGAGGTTTGAATTTAGCGAAAGAAACACCAATTTTGCTGTCGTCAATAAGAGAACCATTCATTTGTTAGATCGATTTCCTTGCTTCTTCAATTGTTGTGAAGCGAATGAAACCAAAGCGACCTCCTTTTGAATTTCTTTTATTTGGAATAAAAGAATCAATTACCCGACCGTGGTTGCAAAATAAAGATTCAAGCCTCTTCCAATGGATCTTCTCTGGTAAATTTTCAATAAATAAGTGTAGCATCCGGCTTGTCATTACTGCACCCCTTTGTGGTGGACTCCTTGGTTCCATCGTAGACAACATCTGCGACAGACTTTTCATCACACACCCATATTTAACAGGCACATAAATACTTGGAGATGCTATAGGAGCTGATTTGGCATTTGCAGTACAGTACTAGAGGAACGGATAACATCCATACTTGTCAAATGGATCAGAATCTATAACTATTCCTCTTTAACAACTAGATTCTTCTTGCCAACTCAATGTGCAAAAGGGACTTCAACTTGACATCAAAAACCATTTCTTGAAGGGCATCTTGGCAACAACTGCAAATTTTGCATTTGAGAAGAGAGAGAAACCTTTCTTTGACATCTTCAGGCAGACCCGTAATGAAGATAGTGCGAACCTCGTCATGATGAGAAGGGTGAGATGGCGGAGAAGCGCAGCTGCAGAGGGCGGAGGAGCTTGGACCAAAGGTTTCTTCTGGTGAAAAGGGTGGATTCCAGCACCCGGCATGTGATGAATGATTATTGAAGTTAAAATCTCAGTGACTGACGACTCTTCCTGGTCGCGCTCCCGGCGGTGGTGAATGTTGTGACTGCCGGCGAAGAAGAAGAGAAGGGTGGAGGTGATGAAGAGATTCCGATGGTAGTCAACGAAACCCTCAGAGATGGATTAGATCGGGAGATTGCAACTTGGCAGAACAATGGCGGGTTATGGTTTTGTCGAATCGGTCAAAGGCAGATTCACGGAGAACAGCACCGAGTCTGGATACTAGGATAGATGGGTTTTGTTCACGAGTGTACGGCGAGCACGGTGGTATGACGGTGTCGAACATGGACGACGGATGGCGGCGTTAATCGGTGAAAAACGGCGTTTAGATCTGCGCCGATTGGAAGACTTTCTCGAAAATCTAATCTCAAAAATGGAATCAGAGAGAGGCAACGATCTTCCTAAGGAAAAACGGCGGCGAACGGATAACGGAGTGTGGCGGCGGACGGCGATGATTAACGGCGGCGAACGACAATGAAGTTCATGTTAAACATGATGCAGTGGTAAAGATGTGCTGAAATGATGGATGATAACAAAATCACCTTGAACCAAGTGAGAAGCGGGAGCTTCCCTCACTAGGTTTGAAATTCAAATTAAACATTCTATGTTTTGATACTGAAATACATGATAACATGCAAATCCACTTTACCATCCACCAGTTCCTTGTATTTACATATTATGATAATTCCTCTTGATATGAACCATCAATGCAAAGCAAAATATTTCCCAACATATATGCTCATTCTTATCGGCGATATTTCCAACCCAATCTGAGAGAGGTTTAACAGAGAATGCTAACTTTCCATTTTCCAGTAAACTAAAAGAAAGTCTAACCACTCTTAATAGCCAAGAGTTATTGATAATGATAACGATAAGAAGTCTTATGATATTCTATGCTTGAGAACGAAAAATAGAGAAGTAGCTCACCATAGACTGCTATCGGCAGGATGATCACAAGAAATCAACTTATCCAAATGAAGAATAGTTTCTGCCAAAAAGACAAGAAAAAGATTCAGGAAGTCAAACCATAAGATTAAATACATTTGTTTGAAAGACCTTATTAAAGGTCATAGGTATGCAAGCCAGTGGAAAGTATTTCATTCTTTGAAAGTATCATATTGGCTGGAATAATATTTTGAATTTTTTCTCAAAATTATGTCAAACTATATAAATTTTCATGCTGAGCATACCGAACCAGCCAAGCATAATAAAGATTATGTTTTGCAGATAATAATAATTATCAAATTGTGGTCATAACTCAAAAAGCATTCACATTGCTCTTTCTATAAGATAACCTTAACATTATCGACAACTATTAATATACACTGGGTGAGAGTATCAAGAGAGTGCACTAATATCTCTCAATCACTTTGGATTCCAAATACTTCTAATACTGAGAATTTATATTGTCCAAAAGAGGTAAAAAGTCCTGACAAAGGCAACTTGATTCAAATAGCAAAACAAATTTCATAAATCATAATCCCTTCATGCTACAAGACTACTCCAGCAGCAATGTTAGAAACAGAACCTAAAACCAAGCTCACCATCAGCATCATTGAATTCTTCGCAGATCTCTGTTGATTAATGTATGCTGCCTGTAAAGCAAACAAATCTCAGCTAATCTCTACACAGACAATAAGTTAAATTATGGACAATCATTAGCTAAAAGTGTGTGAACCTGAAATGGAAGTAAAATGTTCAGGAGGTTAAATCTCTCAAGCAAGCAGATGGATGGCACAGCAGCTCCATATGACAGCATGTAGTTCATTTCCATCATTAATCTGCCCTGATAAATGAAGAACATTATGATGATAAATGATAGGTAAATATGATAAAATCACCTTAATTTACACCAAAAAAGACAAGGATTCAAAGGAAAAGGGCTGTAAATTAGCCACAGTATGGTTGGTTCTTGGGCTAGTTGAGGCTTACTAAGAGCAAATCTGAACAGTACGAGAAAGGGAGGCAAGAAAAGAATCACATTCACAAACGGGGAGAGAGAAAGAGACAGAGCAAGAGCAAGTGAGAGAAGAGAAACTATCTAGGCAGTGGAAAAGTTCTCAACTGATCATTCTGAACTACCTTATCTAATCCCTCAATGGAGTCCCAAAGATCGTGCATTGTTCTCTCAGTATCCTCTGAAATTGACAAGTGCAGACGAGCTGCAATTCTTAAGCCCCGGAGAATTCTTGCTAGGTAAGAAAAATTGCAGTAAATTTCAGTTAATGTCTCATAATGTAGCAGTTCATTCATCCAAAACATATAAGATTCTGCACTCAATAAAGTTAAAATCACCTACCACAGTCCTCTTGAAAGACACATGGGCAGGGATTAATGTCCGTAGCTGAGTCAAAGCACCAAACAAAAGAGTCAGATGATAAAGATTAGTGCAGGTTATGAAACACAAAATTGTTATTGGCAGAGGTGGAGAATCACCTTTAACAACTTCAGGTCTGACATTCCATCGTTGTAATCGTAGATGTTACACGTAAAAGGGTCAAAAAAAATAAGCTGCACCCAGAATTCAATCAGAATCATTATCAACCAGATCGCATCTCATGGGGAAGATGAGAAAGTGAGGTCTTAACAAGCTAATAAATGGACTACAATAGCTCTTTCCATGGAATAAACATACATGCGAACCGATACCCGTTAATAGTGAAGTCCCGAACCCTCTGTTCTCCGAGGATTATGTCTTTTTTATCGCATCTTTTGGGATTAAGATGGTAAGAATTTTCTTTCCTTTATTATGTTTAGCAACTGTCTCAAAGCTTGATACCTATTAGAACATACAAAATCATATTACATAATAAGAAACCTCTTCCTACCAAGGCCATTCATTCCAGAAGTAACATAAGAAGTTACCATAGTAATGAATCAAGAAATTGACATCAACTATAAACCTTTATATGCACCATGCATATTGGAAAAATGGAAATCTTCGTTCAACAATAACAGCTATACGAAATTTCTTTCTTATCTGTAGTAAGATATTACAAATAGCAATAGTAAACTTTTATAATCAACCAGCCTTCCCTGTAATTCTAACTAAAAGAATACCAAGAAGATTGTGACCAAACCTGTTTAAGATTCGCACGGTTATCACATCAAAATCTCCAGGTATTCTATTTAGTAATAAATCTCTAACACAGCCGCCAACTAAATAGGCCTCAACACTGAAATATGTAAGGAAAATATAACTAGCATTGCTTTCGATTAAAAATGTAACCAAATGAGCAAACTAGCGAAGTAAACTAAACCTAGATGAAATCTTCACTTGCAATTTTCAGCTTAAAGACCCTAAATTGATGAGACCTTGGCAATGTGAAGCAATTAATAAAACAAATGGGTAACGTGAAAGATGATTACCCTCCTTTACGAAGAGTATCTAATACAATCCATGGTGGATGCGAAATCATAGAGGAAGATATCCCCACCTTGCTTGCTTGGATTTTTCTTCCATTTTGACGTGTAAACTACATCAATTTTCATAAGAATCGATGGTTTCAATTCCCAGATAATGATTGAAAAAAAATGCTGAACGGAAGGTTAAATTAGGCATAGTGTGATACTTGATGGAAGAGTGGGATTAGCCGCTGGAGCATTTTAGAATATAATTCAGCTTGCAAACTTCTTTCGCCTAACGTGGTGTGGTTGCACCTCTGAGCCAAAAAAAAAAAAAGTAAGACTTTGTTTTATGTTGAAAAGATATTCGACGAATTGCCACAAATAAAATCAAAACCAAAGACAGAGGCAAAAGAAAAACATGGAGACACCTGGAAGCGAGTCAAGGATTTGAGACAAGAGGGGAAGGACTTTTGCCTCTCATAAAAATCGACATAGATATTTGAGTTAGATCGTGTGTTGTTGCCGGTATGCTCCCTGCTGCCCGGCCGGCTGTTTGAATCTGAAATAGCCCAGTCAAGAGGAAAGGGTTGTCATCTTTCGAGTTTCGAGTAAGCTGCCATTTTTGTTTAGTAGTTATTTAGAGGCGTAGGGCTGAAAACCTTATGGTTCCGCTTGTCAGAGGTCCTCAATAGATCAAATTTACCCGATAAATGAATAATTAAATTATATTTTTTAAAACTATTAATTGAGTTGAATAAAATTTGATTAGTTTAATTAATCTTTAAATTAATTAAAATTTATTTTAATTTTTAGTTAGATTAATTGAGTTTAACAAAATAATTTTTTATTTACATTATATTTGATTCCGTATCCAAAATTTCATGAATCTAATATGATTAAAATTTGAAGTACACTATCAAAATAGTCACTTGTCTTTTATATTTGTACATCGTTGTTATTTAAATTCATAAAAGTTAAGATTTGGTCACTTACGTTATTGTTGATGATGTTGAATGTTGTTAATTGATGATGTCACACATTAATAAAAGTATCTAATTTTTATTTCAACCTAAGTTTAGATAAAATACTAATATGAGTTTTTTTTTTTTTTGTAAACCCAAAGTAGTATAGAGATAAATTATCAATTTACAAAAGGACTCATATTAATATTTTATCTGATGTTTAAGAGCTAAAATAAAAATTAAATCATTTTACTAATGTATCATCACCAAGTAACGAAGTTCAACATCTCATGATCAAAACTTAATAAAACAATAACGTAAATGACCAAAGCTCAACTCTATAAAATTGGATGAGTAAAATTATATAAATATGAAAGGTAAGTGGTCATTCAGTAGTTTATCCTAAAATTTAAACATTCACTAAAAAAGAAGCGTACTACCGATTAATATTGTCTTTGAAAATTTAATTCAAACAAGTCATACAACTATGCAATTAAGAATTCCAATTTAACATTTGAACTCGTTTAAACAAACATATATGGGTCTTTGGCTAAGCTTGCTACTTGTGGAACTTGCTTTATTTCCATGCCTATCAATTAATGCATCTTCATCATACACATTAGCAAGTGCATAAGCTTTTCTATAATTTCTTGAGAAAACTAAAGCTATCCATGATGAATTTATAACTACCAATTCTCCATCAGTTCAGCAGTGCAGCATATACAAGGGAAGTTGAGACTTGAGAAAGATTCTTTGTGGCTGCATGCCTGGATTTTCAAATTCATATTTGCTGTCAAATTTCACATGTAAAGAAAAATATGCCAAAAAGCTTCATTTTTCAGTCATTCCCAGTTTTAGAATGTCAAAGTTTGTGTTATCCAGTGATGAAAATATCGTTTTCTTTTCAATAAATTTTTGTCCTTGGTTAAAGTTGTATGTGTGAGAAAATGCATCTGATTTCATCAATTTGTGAATTCTGGCTACTGTATATATCATCTTCTACGCTAATGGTGGGTGGCTGTGCTTGAATTTGGGAAAACTTGAAAGAAACGTGTACAATTCCGAGCTAATACAACCTCATTTTGATGAATTGGCATTGTTTCCTAAACAACGAAGATAGGATAAGGTCATCGCACATGTGGCCTCATTCTTCTTCTTGTGTTCATTACCAGTGGCCTTCAAACTTTAATCCATCTCGTCCTCATATTATTCATATTATTATCTCTCTTTTCTTGTCGTTTCTCTTAATCCAAAAGTTGCTTGAAGCAAAGGTCTAAAGTCTACACTTTCATATATAAATCAGAACAAAAACCAACCCAGACTCTTCACTCTTATCTCCCTTATCATGGATCCTTATAAGGTAAAGTTCCATTTTCTTTCTGTTGGGTGTAATTATATCTAACAAAACTACATCTTCTTCTTCTTTGATACAGCATCGTCCTTCAAGTGCCTTCAATTCCCCATTCTGGACCAATTCTGGGGCTCCGGTTTGGAACAACAACTCGTCGCTCACCGTCGGAGCAAGAGGTAACGAATAAGACACTTGGTGTTGTGTGTGCCTGTTACATGTTTGTTCATTTGTACACCATGTTCAAGTACAAAAATTGAAGCTTTGGGTCGATTATTAGCAAAACATAGGAGAACTGAAGAACACTTTTTTTTTGCAGGTCCGATTCTCCTGGAAGACTATCATTTGGTGGAAAAGCTTGCTAATTTGATAGGGAACGCATTCCAGAACGTGTTGTCCATGCAAGAGGAGCTAGTGCAAAAGGCTTCTTGAGGTCACTCACGACATATCGCACCTCACGTGTGCTGACTTCCTTCGTGCACCTGGGGTCCAGACTCCACTGATTGTCCGATTTTCCACTGTTATCCATGAACGTGGTAGTCCTGAAACTCTGAGAGACCTCGAGGTTTCGCTGTGAAATTCTACACTCGAGAGGTAAAAAGATTTTCAACTACTTTCTGCTTGCTCAAAGTATTGTCATATATTCATATGTTCGAATCATGAGAGATTGGATTTATCATTTAGGTATAATTTAGTATTCTCTTAAAGATTTGGATTTGAATAGTTGTGTATGCATGGTATATATATATGTATTGTCATATATTCATACGTTCAGGTTGGATTTATCATTTAGGTAGTTGTGTATGCATGATATATATATATATATGTTGTCAATAGACTAAAAAAAATTCTAAAAGAAATTAACTTGTAATTGGTAATCATCTCGGACTATTAAAAGAAATATTGTTTTTGCGGTTGAAAGTACTTTTATCTAAGTACTTGATATAAGAGAGATTTTTGCCATCAAAATTACTTGTAGAAGTGTTTTTTTTTAAGATGTAATGCTAAAGACACCCTTCTTGATGTTTAACCAGGGTAACTTTGACATGGTGGGAAACATTTCCAGTTTTTTTCATCCGTGATGGAATGAAGTTCCCTGACATGGTCCACGCCCTCAAACCAAACCCAAGTCCCACATTCAGGAAAACTGGAGGATCCTGGACTTCTTCTCCCACCATCCCGAAAGCTTGCACATGTTCACCTTCCTATCGATGATATAGGTATTCCCCAGGATTACAGGCACATGGATGGCTCTGGTTTCATACCTACACACTCATCAACAAGGCTGGGAAGGCACACTACGTGAAATTCCACTGGAACCAACTTGTGGTGTCAAAAACCTGTTGGAAGATGAGGCCGTGAGAGTTGGTGGAGCTAATCACAGTCATGCCACACAAGATCTCTATGACTCCATTGCAGCTGGGAGCTATCCCGAGTGGAAGCTGTTCATTCAGATAATGGATCCTGCTGATGAGGATAGGTTCGATTTCGATCCACTTGATGTGACCAAGACCTGGCCGGAGGATATCTTCCCGTTGCAGCCGGTGGGTCGAATGGTTTTGAACAAAAACATTGATAACTTCTTTGCTGAGAACGAGCAGTTAGCCTTCTGTCCTTCTATCATTGTCCCGGGATTTATTACTCGGATGATAAGTTGCTCCAAACTAGAATCTTCTCCTACTCCGACACTCAGAGGCACCGCCTCGGACCTAATTATCTGCAGCTTCCGGCCAATGCTCCCAAATGTGTTCATCACAATAATCACCATGAAGGTTTTATGAATTTCATGCACAGAGATGGAGGAGGTATATATAGAAAGACTTGCATGCTCTCATGCTCTACAATATACACATATAGAAAGATAGACATGTTAAGTTCATTGATGCATCATGATCCCTGATGAATGTTTTTCTTCTAAGGTGAACTTCCCTTCGAGATATGATCCAGTGCGCCATGCTGAGACGTACCCTATTCCCACTGCCATTTGCAGCGGCAAGAGAGAGAAGGTTTGGTTTTTTTCCTTTCACCTAGCATTTTAAGATGATGTTACCAGGTAACCGCAATTTAATATATAATCGTATGTATTGTTACAGTGCATGATTGAGAAAGGAGAACAACTTTAAGCAGCTGGGGAAAGATACCGATCCTTTACACCGGACAGGTTTTCTTTTTCATTTGATAAAATGTAAAATCCCCTCATTCTTTATGCATTCATTTACATTTGTAATTCATTTTGGTTGACTGTCTTAGGCAAGAACGTTTTGTTCAACGCTGGATTGATGCATTGTCTGATCCAAGGGTTACACATGAGATTCGCAGTATTTGGATATCATACTGGTCACAGGTGAGACTCTCATCCTTTGATCTTAATTAATTTATATAAACACCCCAACATACTAGTTCTTTTGGCTTAATAATAATGATGTAATTGTCTGTGTAGGCTTGCAAATCTTTGGGTCAGAAACTGGCTTCTCGCCTCAGTGTGAGACCGAGTTATTGACGATTGGAGTTAATCAGGAAGCATTTGCAGGAAGTGAGCAACTACTTAAACACTGGATTATATGTGTACAATAAGATGTATCAATGTGTTGGTGCGTTTATGTATTTTTATGGACTCGAGAGAACCAGAGACCATCACCATAAGAAGTAACTCCTTGATTGTTAATGGTAATGTTAAGCTCCTTGATTGTTAGTGGTAATGTTGGCAATGGCAACCTTTTATTTTAATTCAAAAAGAATGCAAGTGTACTTAAGCATCCATACACCTCGCTGCAACTCTTTTTCATACATCAAACTATAAAAGACAACATCTTGCCAAAATACAAACTGGTAAAAGATGGATACAACAAAAGTTATACAAAGGGAAATCGGCCAACAGTGTTTTGTTATACGTATGTTTCAATTCGAACGCCTTTCCTTTTCTCTTCACCACTTCAAATAGATCATTACATAGCAACAAATCTGGGAAAAGGATCCTGATCGTTGATACTTCAAATAGAGAATGGGTACTTCAGTAGCAAATCTTTATATTTCTGGAGAACTCACCATCATCATCATCCTCGGGATTCTCTGAGGATGTCTGTGGAAAGAATTCATCCTCGGGGTAAATCTCCTTAAATAACTGTCATATTCCACAACCAGCATTACATTCCAAACAGCAATCAGAATGTAGAATGGAATTTTAAATTTCATGAACACCAGCAATTATGTACCTTTTCAGTCGCATCTACAAGATCATCATAGTTCAGTTTACCATTGGCATGGGAGTTGAACAGATAAATCAACTTGACCCTGAAATCAAAACATAGTTCTTTTGAAAAGGGCATTATGGATCAACCGTATATTGACATCGACAAAGCATCAATAAACTCCAAGCCCAACAATGTTAAGCAGACTGAGTAATCCCTCTAAAACCATGTCTCAAGTGTTAAACATTCGGAAATAGTGATGATATTCAGAAAAATAGAAGGCAACATACAAGAAAAAGTAACCATAAGAAACTACCAAAGTGAGCTCCTGAACATACAACGCACTCCAAAGTAGAGTAGGTTTTCCTTCTCCCGGATCACTTGTACCTGTAGAACTACTTCCTGCAGTTTCATTTTGAGCTGCAGCATTACTTTCAGAATTATACGCGGAACTATAAGAGGGTGTTCATGACTGCATGAATTAATTTCTTCCCTTGATCATCGTCATCACATAATGCTGAGATATATAACACAAACCTGAATAGAACAAGGAGAAAATTTATATTTTTGCATTAAGCATATAGACTGGAATTACTCCATTCTAGGTATGCATAAGATCGGAAAATTTAACCAAGTTACAAATAATGACAGTGAAGTTCTCTATGCACTTCATTATCATCACATAATGCTGAGATATATAACACAAACCTGAATAGAACAAGGAGAAAATTTTATATTTTTGCATTAAGCATATAGACTGGAATTACTCCATTCTAGGTATGCATAAGATCGGAAAAATTTAACCAAGTTACAAATAATGACAGTGAAGTTTCTCTATGCACTTCATTATCAAAAACTTAAATTTGAGCACCTTATGTCTGAAAGATATGACTAAATGCTAGATAGACAGTTCTGACTTCTCACAAAATTCATCAGAAATGATACATTCAAAAGATAACCACGGGAAAAGCAACAGAAAAGGGAGGCGAACAGATGAAAGTTGATAAAATTCATTGTAAAACAATCAGAGAGAAGATAAAACCTATTCTCCTCAGAAAATAACGAACTTACCTGCCCGGTGGACAAACAGCCAAATTGCTAGCTATTTGGATAAGTCTGATGGATGTAACCTGTTCAGGAAACAACGCTAGGGGAAAAAGAAGTCATTGGTTTTTCTTATCCTAGTTTAATATCTTCAACAAAGGCAAAAGAAACAAATCTTACATCTTGGAGGATATACAACCAAAAGGTTGGACATGTCAGTCTTCAAAGAAGTCATTGTGATGCATATTCCCCTCGCTATCTTTCCTCTATCATCCTTCTGACTGAAAAATGGAAGCTTTCTTGAAGTGGAGGTGGTGGGGATGAGCCTGATGGCAATGTTACCTTAAAGGTTGGATCATGATAAGTTTCTGGCTGAATATATCCTGACCTGAGGCTAATCTAACACCCTTGTAACACCCAGAATCCTGAGAAGTTTTCAAAGGAAAAATATGAAGATCTTCTACCTTAACATCATAAAAGAAACAGTCTGCTCAGAATAACAAAATATCTAACATATGTAGTCTGGCTCATGCTTCCATACTTGTCTACAAGTAATGCAGTAACTGGCATACGCAATACCTATGTCACATTAATTCAAATGGATTAGCATATTCTTACAGCTAAATCATAATAATTTAATGTAAAATCAGGCTGTCTGGTGTTGGGCATCTCAAAGATATGAAATGCCTTCAACCAACTCAGAGAGGAAAATATAGCTAAGGAGAAGCAGACAAACTCTGTTTACATTTCTCCAATTATGAGTATATCGGGATGATTGTGCTTGATAGTGGGTATTCTAAATGATTGGTAACACAAACCACTATATTCCTACACCATTTAGATTAAAAAAACTATTGTACCTTTCTTCTGGAGTTTTTCTATAGATAGACACTAATTTGCTAAGGCTTCTGTTTGCATAAAGTAGTAGACAACGAACATTTAAATATCAAGAAACTGATCAACTCAATTCACAGAGAGCATTTGATTAAGAGATGTAAACACAAAATCAGCTAACACGCAATGACACACACACACATAAACAATAAAAGAAAACCGACAATGGTAGGAATTCATCAGTAACTACATTAAAAGTTGTCAAACACAAGAATTCTCTCCTCATCAGAACTTACATAAATGCAGCCTTTGACAGCAGCACGGCGGCAAAAGCTTGGGGTAGTTCCCCTTGCCCATAAATAGGATATAACAAAGCTCCAGATGCATTTTGAAACCTACAGACAATGCATTAAACGTAAATATAGACGGAATTTGCTATGATAAGTTCCTATTCAAATTTCAACATGAAAATGTGGAATTGAATATTTTTAGTTGAAAGCTTGACTTGAATAACGGAACTGAAAGGACAAAAGTTAACCTGCCAATAGATGCTTATACAGGGCCAACTGATCGATCCCAACTTTTGTCTTCAGCAAATCTCTACAGACTCCAGTATGTTCTTGATCATAATCCGCCATTGCTATCGCATAGAGTATAAACCTGCATAGACAAGGGAAAAATCAAATGCAGTTGAAAATCATGCCCACGATATGAAGCAATGAGGGCAACTAGAGATGGGGAAAATAAATAAAAAATTGAAGAGTTGTGACTAACAGACGATTTAATTTTGGGCGACAATCCCATTCATTCAAGAAGTCAACAAACGGACTCTGCAAATCCTCATCGGAAATCTTTACGTCTGGTTCGCCAGCCAAGTGTCCCTGCACCAGCTTGAAGAACCTCATTAACTGATTCTTCTCAGTGAGTCCCAGACTCCTGTCTCTGAATATGGAGCTCTGGAATCCGGCACACTCAAGAGATTCCCCTTGCTGTCCCCTACGAAAGTGGCGTCAATACTCTTGAATTCCATGTACTGATTGGTTCCCGTATTTAGTATCAATTCAATAGATTTGTCGGCGCAAAAGAAAACCTAGTCCAGCCACATCGAGGTTGAAAGTTCTGGAGTTTTGATCGAGGAGATCGGGGGAAACCCGGAGATGTCGATAGAGGAGTAGAGAGGACGAGAGATAATCCAAGACAGAAAACTCATTACTTTCGTCGGACAAGTGTGGGCGCGGTGGTGATGGTGAGGTTGAGTGGGTGGAGAGGAATGACGGGAGATCGGCGAGAGGAATAGAGCAGAAGTGGGAACCGTAGAAGGGATTGGGATCGAGGTGGAGGACGGATTTAGAGGTGGCGGAGGCGGCGGCGGCTATGATGGATTCAGGAAGGCCGGTGCCTATGACGATGAGGTCGTAGGTGGTTGGATCGATTGGGGGGTTGGGTGGGATGTCGTCCATGGCGGAGCGAAGGTAGAAAAATTGTAAGAAGCAAACTTAGCAGAAAGTAATCTGCGATTTATGTTTTGAACTTGCGTAAACTACAGGGGTGGTCCTTACTTTTGGTTGATCTTATTTTGGTCATTAATTTTGAAAAGTATAATAATGTTGTTTACATTATTGGTCTGTTTATTTTAGTCATTGAACTATTAACTTATCATTGTAATAAGTTAAGAAAATTAATTTAAATTTAATTCATAAAATTTTAAGTTTTTTAAAAAATATTTAAAAATTTTCTGTCCCAATTATCTCCATTTTTTAACCCTTAAAATT